CTCCTAACGATTCCATTATTCCACAACTTCTCTTTTCTTTTCTTTCCTTTTTTTAATTTTGATGAGGTCTCACTCTGTTGCCCAGGCTGGCGTGCAGTGGCATGATCATAACTCAATGCAGCCTCGAACTGCTGGGCTCAAGTGAGCCTCCCACCTCAGGCTCTAGAGCAGATGGTACTACAGGCATACACCACCATGCCCAGCTATCAACTTGTCCTTTTTCAGCAAACTCAAGATATATTAAAACTCTTCACATTTAAAATTACTCTATACAGGCTGATGCGATGGCTTGTGCCTGTAATCCTAGCACTTTGGGAAGCCAAAGTGGGAAGATCACTGGAGGCCAGGAGTTTGAGATTAGCCTGACCAACACAAGGAGATCTCTTCTTTACACAAAAATAAAAAATCAGCTGCATATAACAGAGCACACTTGAAATCCTAGCTTTACTTGGGAGGCTGAGCTGGAAGGACTGCTTGAGCCTAGGGTTTTGAGGCTGCAGTGAGCCATAATCATGCCACTGCACTCCAGTGTAGGCAGCAGAGCAAGACCCTATCTCAAAGTAAGTAAGCAAGCAAATAAATAAATAAATAAATAAATAAAACTGCTCTATATACATAAGACGAAAAATGCCAGAGGTCACATCTATTTTACTATCTGTGATTTCCCCAATGTCATCAACACTCCAAAAACATTGTTAGATTAATTAAAAGTAAGGACTATGTCTTAGACCAGTAGTTCTCAAATTGCGGTTCACAGACCAGCAGCATCAGCACTACACGGGTGTCGACAGAAATGCAAACTTTCATAGTGGTTCATGTCTATAATTCCAGCACTCTTGGAGGCTGAGGCGGGAAGATCACTGGAGCCCAGGAGTTCGAGGCCAGCCTAGGCAACATGGCGAAACCCCACCTCTACAAAAAATATAAAAATTAGCTCGGTGTGATGGTGGGCACCTGTGGTCCCAGCTACGTGGGAGACTGAGGTGAAAGGATCGCTTGAGCCTGGGAAGTCAAGGCTGCAGTGAGCTGCGATCATGCCACTGCACTCCACCTTAGGGACAGAGCAAGACCCTGCCTCAAAAAAAAGAACTGCAAACACTCAGGCCCTGCCCTCAGTTCACTGCAACCTCTGCCTCCCAGGTTCAAGTGATTCTCCTACCTCAGCCTCCCGAGTAGCTGGGATTACAGGCATATGCCACCACACTCAGCTAATTTTTGTATTTTTAGTAGACACGAGGTTTTGCCATGTTGGCCAGGCTGGTCTCGAACTCCTGACCTCAGGTGATCTGCCTGCCTTGGCCTCCCAAAGTGCTGGAATTATAGGTGTGAGCCATCACGCCCAATCAAGAATTCATCTTAAACATCTCAACTATTCAAATGCAACCTAATTAACATTTAACAAATGGCCGGGTGCGACAGCCTCGGCGACAGAGCGAGACTCTGTTTCAAAAAAAAAAAAAATTGGCCGGGCGCGGTGGCTCAAGCCTGTAATCCCAGCACTTTGGGAGGCCGAGACGGGCGGATCACGAGGTCAGGAGATCGAGACCATCCTGGCTAACACAATGAAACCCCGTCTCCACTAAAAATACAAAAAAATTAGCCGGGCGTGGTGGCGGCGCCTGTAGTCCCAGCTACTCGGGAGGCTGAGGCAGGAGAATGGCGGGAACCCGGGAGGCGGAGCTTGCAGTGAGCCGAGATCGCGCCACTGCACTCCAGCCTGGGCAACAGAGCGAGACTCCGCCTCAAAAAAAAAAAAAAATTAACAAATATAAAATACAAAGCTTTATAATAACCATTCATTCAACTGTATTTATTATCTACGAAAAATACTGCACTAGGAAAAGTAGCCTCTACTGATAATTCCTAGCTCAAAATAAGCTAATATTTTGCCTTCTCCTCACGTCTCCCATACATACACTGTTACTCTGTGTGTACATGTTTTAACCATCAAGGAAAAATCAAGTTAATTAGATGCAAAGTTTAAAACATAATCATGCCTAATATGTCTGCTGTGTTCTGAATGTTTCTGTCTCCCTAAATTCATATGTTGGAATCCTAATTCCCAAGGTAATGGTATGAGGAGGTGGGGCCTTTGGGAGGTGATTACATCACCAGTGTAGTGCCCACATGAATGGGATTAGTGCCCTTATAAAAGAGGCCCCAGAGAGCCACCTGGCCCCTGCCACCATGTGTGAAAACAGTGAAAAGGTGACTCAGGAACAGCCCTCATGAAACACCAAATCCGCTGGGGAACTGATTTTGGACTTCCCAGCTTTCCGAACTCTGAGAAATAAATTTCTGTTGTTGACAAGCTACCTAGTTTATGGTATTTTGTTACAGTAGATTGAATGGGCTAAGACAATATCTTGCTTGCCTCATTTCCTACTACACATCTTCATTCTTGCATCCTTCCATGCTATATAATGGTAATACTACCTCCTACAATGCATCCTAATTCCTTCCTACTTTCTTTCTTTAAAAAAAAAAAAAAATCCCTGTGAGGGCATCCTTTCTACTTGCTACTCATATTCATGAGGCATTCTTCCCCTTCCCAAAATGATCTATAAAAACCCTATTCAACTTTCAGGCCCAGCTCAAAGGACACTTTTGAATCCTAAATACCTCAAGCGGAGTTCATAACTCCTCCCTCTCATACATTCATTCTCAATGGAAGGGCCCACACTTTCAAAAATCTAGCAATGTGATGTCTTAGGTAGGATGGCTCTTTATTCTGAAAAGTATATCATCATACCTCACTCAATATCATTTTTGCACCAAAATTAAGATTCTCTGCCCAGGCGTGATGGCTCATGCCTGTAATTCTAGCACTTTGGGAGGCCAAGGTGGGAGGATGGCTTAAATCCAGGAGGTCAAGACCAGACTGGGCAACACAGCGAGACTCCATTTCTACAAAAAGTTTTACAAATTAGTGGGGCGGCCGGGCGCGGTGGCTCAAGCCTGTAATCCCAGCACTTTGGGAGGCCAAGACGGGTGGATCACGAGGTCAGGAGATCGAGACCATCCTGGCTAACACGGTGAAACCCCGTCTCTACTAAAAAATACAAAAAACTAGCCGGGCGAGGTGGCGGGCGCCTGTAGTCCCAGATACTCCGGAGGCTGAGGCAGGAGAATGGCGTGAACCCAGGAGGCGGAGCTTGCAGTGAGCTGAGATCTCGCCACTGTACTCCAGCCTGGGCGACAGAGCGAGACTCCGTCTCAAAAAAAAAAAAAAAAAAACAAATTAGTGGGGCATGGTAGTCCGTGCCTGTGGTACCAGCTACTTGTGAGGCTAAGGTGAGAAGATTGCTTGAGCCCAGGAGTTCAAGGCTGCAAAGAGTCATGATTGTGCCACTGCACTCCAGCCTGGGCCACAGAGCAAGATCATCTCCAAACGACGATTCTCAGACTCACTCTTTCTGTGTAATCCACTAGCTACCTCAAATTTCAATTTAAGTTTATACTAGTCAGGTGGCAAATGAGACCATAAAGTGAATCATTCAAGCACCTAGCTGGCCTGGGCACTTGGAATAATAAGTAAGGCACGGTTGCTACCTAGAACTTACATTCCACAGGGAGAAACAGGTTAGCATACAATAACAGTGTGTGAAAGTGAAGGAGACAGACACAGGGAAATGACAGACTAAAAATGCAGGAGCGAGTTAGGGAAAATTCATAGATTAAATAATTTAATAGTACATCACTTTTCTAAAAAACAGATGGAGGGAAAAAAAGAAACTGACTAACCTCCTAGGGGAACATAATTATCAGGACTTAGTTGCGCCTTATTCCTCCCAGAGACCAAAATTTAGCTTGTTGCATATGTTGGAGCAATGTTTTCAATAAATGTACAGCAAACCACTTATAACCCAACTCAACGAAAAAATCCAACTGAAGCCTCAACCTATTTTCAAACAGAAAGAAAATTTGCAAATATAAGGTTCTCCCAACTAAAGGCAGACAGAGCAAAACAAATGAACTCTTTAGAAGGTTTAAAGAGACAGTCACAACCTGCCAAGCTGATTGTCAGTCTTCAAATGCCCTTGGTCTCTGCCTCCAAATGAAAACAAATCATTTAAGTAATAATAGTCAAGTCTGTAAACAAGTATTTTTAAATTTCTCCAGCTGTACCTCCACATTAAAAGATGCTCAAAAAAAAAGAAAAAGAAAAAGAAACTCAAAACATTTTTTAGCTATTTCTGTCAAAAGACTAGATCTCTCCTGAGGTCACAGTATGCATGCTGGCCCTCATTTCATTGCTCTGTAACACACCACCACTCCGGTTTTGCAATGACACTAGTTAATAGGCTTCCAGGATCTCTTCAATACCTCCAAAAACGAAAAGGAAGAAGCAAGCCTACAAATCCCTATCTGCCCGACCTACAGCTCCCGGGAAGCAACAGTCCTCAAATTGTTACTGCTTAGACCCCTGAAGCCCGTAGAAGGAAATGGGGACAGCTGCGAAAGCGAACCGAGCGAGGACATCCGATAAGGGAAGAGGAAACCTGGATGGGAGAGGACGAAGGGGAGAAGGAACACGGAGAGGAGGGGGCAGTGGAGATAAAATGGTGAAGAGGGGTGAGAAGAGCAAGGAAGAGCAGCGAAAAATAGGGAGGAAAGGGGGGGGAAGTAAAATTCACATAAGGGAAAAAAAAGGCAAAATGATAGAGGAGAAAGGAGGGAAGGGTTAGGGTTAAAGGACAAGGAGTGGGCGACAAAAGGAATGCGAAAAAGGCTGTCACTGGGAGTGATAAAAAGGATGTCATCGGGGAGAAGGGAGATTCAGTGGATGTCACCTAAAGGGGTTCACCCCAGCAGGTGAATGGGGGAACACGGACAAGGAGGAGCTGGACACCGAGGGGGCGGTAACGAGGGAAAGAGGTAAAGGCAGGGAGCCCGAGGGGACACCAGAGACAAGGAGGGGCAAGCCCGCAGGGGCTAGCGCGGCGGGCGGGGGCTAGGGTGGCGGGCGGCTGCGGCTAGGGCAGGCCTTGCTCCCTCACCATGGCTGCGCCGGCCTGGTCCTCGGGCATGCAGCCTCCGTCCTGGGTGCGGCGGCGGGCCGGACCGGAGCCCGCCCCCAGGCTGAGCCGGCGCGGAGGCTCCAGGAGGCTCCGGCGAGCGGCCGCTCCGGGCTTGGCCCAGGCCTCGGCCTCCTTCCCTTAAGCTAGAAGTGTAGCAGCAGCAGCCGCAGCCGCAGCCGCAGCCGCAGCCCGAACCCGAGCGCAGACTCCGCCCCCGCGAGGACCCGCCCGGGCGCGCGAGCCCGCGCTTGGCCCCGCCTCCGCTCTCAATGCGCAGACTCAGCCGAGGGCTCCCGCCCCCCCCCCACCCCGACCTGTAGTTTCTCCCCCTCCCAGACCCTTAAAGGAGCAACACACCCCTAAATCCTAGCCTCCCTTCAAAATATGAAGAGCTTTAAATATTACATTATGACAAGAGATTAGAGCACCGCTCGCTTAGGTCGCCTATAGACCCCTCTGTCACTCATCATCATTCTTTAAGATTTGGGCTTCTGGTTCACTGTCATTCATTACTACTATTGTCAAAATTCTTGGTGATTTCAAAATTCGCTTAATTCTTCCAATCCTCTGGCCTCGCAGATTCTTCTCTAGGGATCATTCTTGGCTCAGCCTCTCACTCTCATGCTCATACGAATAATTGTAACTTCTCTAAAATCTTAATTTTAATCCTCTAACTCCCATCGCAACCTTCTTCCTTTCTTTTTTTCTTTTTCTTTTTTTTTTTTTTTTTTTTTTTTTTTTTGAGATGGAGTTTCGCTCTTGTTGCCCAGGCTGGAGTGCAGTGGTGCGATCTCGGCTCACTGCAACCTCCACCTCCCAGGTTCAAGTGATTCTCCTGCCTCAGCCTCCCGAGTAGCTGGGATTACAAACACCCGGCACCAAGCCTGGCTAATTTTTGTATTTTTAATAGAGGCGGGGTTTCACCATGTTGGCCAGGCTGGTCTCGAACTCCCGACCTCAGGTGATCCACCTGCCTCGGACTTCCAAAGTGCTGGGATTACAGGTGTGAGCCGTTGCGCCCGGCCACAACCTTCTTCCTTTCTAGCTCACTCCCTCTGATAATACTCCAACTCCAAAAACTTCAACTCCAAGACCCTAAATCCATTGATCCAACTACCTTTTCGCTATTCCTCCCCACACTGGCCTCATGTACTGACTTTCTTCCTGAAACAGCTTAGATTCTATTGTCCATCATGAAATGGAATCTAATAGAATCTAAGCTGTTTTGGTACATGAGGTACATGAAGTCGATTTCTTCAGTATTACCTTCATTTCTCTAGTCGTTTTCTGCTTTCTTTGTACTGACGGAACTCCAGCAATGGAGTGGGTGGAGAAAAAGCCAAAAGTGGTTGACTGACTCCCCGTAAATTTGAGATCATTATTGTCAAGGGGCCATAATGCATGGCCACCCTACCACATTTCTCCAGTTTCACACACTCTCCCACCTTGCTACATAACTATTTCAAGTCTCCTGTCTCTTCAAACCTCCAACACTTACTCCCTCATCCTCATTTAGCTGATGATTTTGCTTCCAATTCATGAGAAAATCAAACAAACCAAAAAGAACATCTACAAGTTCCCAGCACCCACCATGACTTCCAACTAACCTGTAACTCTGCTTTGATACTCTCTGCCTTCCTTTCCTTACTGCAAGCGAATTATTTGTCTTTTAGCTAATGTCAAATCCTCCTCAGTTCTCAAGCATCTGTGCTAAAAGACCCAGGTTTTATCCCCAATCACAAAACTAAATTTCTGTAAAATTAATTACTAGAAAAAATTAAAATTTAAAAACAAGCATCCAAAATGCAAGCCCAGACTTTTTAAAACCTGCTTAACCATTTTAAAGTGTATAGCTCAGTGGTATTAAATACATTCACATTGTTGTACAACCATCCCCATCAAGAACTCCAGAACTTATTTTTCTTTTATTTATTTATTTTTTGAGACAAGGTCTTACCGTGTCACCCATCAGGAGTACAGTGGCACAATCACGGCTCACTCAACCTCAAACTCCTGGGCTGAAGTAATCCTCCCACCTCAGCCTCCTAAGCAGCTGGGACTACAGGCACGTACCACCATGCCTGGCTAGTTATTTATTTATTTATTTATTGCAGAGACAAGGTCTCACTGTGTTGCCCAGGCTTGTCTCAAACTCCTAGACTCAAGTAATCCTCCTGCCACAGACTTCTAAAGTGCCGGGATTATGGTCGTGAGCCGATGTGCCAGGCCTCCAGAACTTTTTTATCTTGCAAAGCTGAAAGCTTGTACTCATTAAACAATAACTCCCCATTCCTAACTTCCCCCAATCCCCGGCCATCACTGTTCTGCTTTCTGTCTCTATTAATTTGACTATGCTAGGCAGAATTTTTATTATTAAATCCAGCACACATAAAATTTTTCTGTCAAATTGTTATAAAAGTTTCAAAATATTAATTCTGAATTGCTGTCACAAACTGGTGACAAACCATTTCTAGACGGTCACTAGTCCACTGATCACACTTTGAGAAGCTCAAGTACTAAATCTCATACCACATCACTTTCTCAAAGACACCTATCCAGCAATTCTTCCTCTCGCCTACATCACTATTTTTCTGCTATTACCTCTCATTGCTATAGCAACATGAATTTATTTCTTCCATCTTAAAACAATCAAACAAAAAACCCTCCCTTAGGTTGCAGTGAGCCGAGATCGCGCCACTGCACTCTAGCCTGGGCAACAGAGCGAGACTCCATCTCAAAAAAAAAAAACCCTCTCTTGACTGGACTTGACCCCCACCCACTGCCCCATTTCTCCATTCTCTTTTCTGCAAAATGCTTCACAAAGGTGGCTTGTATATAGTCTCACTCTGTTGCTCAGACTGGAGTGCAGTGGTGCAATCTCAGCTCACTACAACCTCCGCCTCCTGGGTTCAAGCGATCCTCCCACTTCAGCCTCCCAAGTAGCTGGGACTACAGGCGTGTGCCACCATGTCCAACTAATTTTTGTATTTTTTGTAAAGATAGGGTTTCATCATGTTGCCTAGGCTGGTCTCGAACTCCTGAGCTCAAGCAATCTGCCTGCCTCAGTCTCCCAAAATGCTGAGATTACAGGCATGAGCCACCTCGCCTGGCCTTGACATCCTTTTAATCATTTTTGGTGAGATCCTCTCTGGTTAAGCTTTTACCTCCTCCACTCCACTGAAATGCTCTTGTCAAGGTCACTAGTGGTGTCCATTTGCTGACACCAGTCAATTCTCAGTCCTCGTGTTACTTGACCTACCAACATCGCTAAACACAGCTCATTACTTCCCCCTCCTTGGCTACCACGACATTCCACCCCCTTGGGTCTTCCATCTCACTGGCTGCTCCTAGTTTCTCCTCATTTATCTGACCTCTAAATACTGTAGTACCCCAAGGCTCAATATTTAGACTTTTTATCTTTTCCATGTACACTCCTTCATAATCTTATCCCATCACGTTACTTTAAATATTATCTATGCTGTGATAACCCCAAAATTATATCTCTATTCTGAATTTCATACTTACATATCTAAATGCCAGCTAAACATCTCCCCTTATATGTCTAATAAGCTACAATTTTTCTTAGTAGTTACTCAATAGATTTCCCCTCAAGTAACACGGATAAGCCAATAAATACCACAGAGAATATGACCGCCAATATTAGCTTAGACCAATCACGATTTACTCTCCGTCTGATCTGTGAGTTACTTTCCCTAAGGACTTGCTTGTAGTGGAGGAAAATCATCATTAAAAATTAGAGTTCTAGGCTGGGTACAGTGGCTCAGGCCTGTAATCCCAGCAATTTAGGAGGCCGAGGCGGGTGGATCATGAGGTCAGGAGATGGAGACCAGCCTGGCCAACATGGTGAATCTCCATCTCTACTAAAAATACAAAAGAAATTAGCCAAGTTTAGTGGCACACACCTGTAGTCCCAGCTACTTGGGAGGCTGAGGCAGGAGAATCGCTTGAACCTGGCAAGCAGAAGTTGCAGTGAGCCGAGATCACTCCACTGCACTCCAACCTGGACGACAGAGAGAGACTCCTTCTCAAAAAAAAAAAAAAAAAAAAAAAAAATACAGTTCTAGCCAGCCAAGGTGGTTGACACTTGTAATCCCAGCACTTTGGGAGGCCAAGGCAGACAGACGGTTTGAGACCAAGAGTTTGAGACTAGCCTGGGCAAGATGGTAAAATTCCATCTCTACAAAAAAAAATACCAAAAAGTAGCTGGGCATGGTGGTAGTTTCGGCTACTCAAGAGACTGAGGTGGAAGGATCACCTGAGCCCTGGAGGTCTAGGCTGTAGTGAGGCATCGTCGCGCCACTGCACTCCAGCCTGTGTGACAGAGTAAGATCCTATCTCAAAAAAAAAAAAAAAAAAAAAAAAAAAAAAAAAAAATCAGGGTTCTGCCATCAAGAAAGATTGGAGTCACAGTTGATTTGCTTGATTTGCAATCAATGAAGCACAAACGAAGGATCAAAAATAAATCCAAATTACCTAGGAACTCAGTATAATACTAAAGGTAGCATTTCAAGTCAGAAAGAGAAAGGTGGAATTATATTTGGTGTTAGAATAACTGGATAGACATCTAGAAAATTTTAACTTGGATTTACACTTCACGCTATTCACCAAGACAAATTTCAAATATATAAAAGATTAAAATGTAAAAAAGAAGACCAGGCGTGGTGGCTCATGCCTGTAATTCCAGCACTTTGGGAGGCCTAGGCAGGCAGATCACTTAAAGTCAGGATTTCGAGACCACCCTGGCAAAGATGGTGAAACCCCATCTCTACTGAAAATACAAAATTAGGCAGGGCGCAGTGGCTCCCAGCACTTTGGAAGGTCAAGGCGGGTGAATCACAAGGTCAGGAGTTCAAGACCAGCCTGACCAAGATGGTGAAACCCCATCTCTATTAAAACTACAAAAATTAGCCAGGCGAGGTGGCAGGCACCTGTAATCCCAGCTACTCAGGTGGTAGAAACAGGAAAATCGCTTGAACCTGGGCGGCAGAGGTTGCAGTGAGCCAAGATCGAGCCACTGCACTCCAGCCTAGGTGACAGAGTGAGACTCCATCTCAAAATAAATAAATAAATAAATAAACAAAATAAAAAAGAAGGAAGGAAACCATAACATACTGGAAGAAAGAACCATGGGAGAATTTTTTAGAATCTTAAAGTGAGGAAAATCTTTTTAAGTACAAAACAAGAGCTGGGCG